CTAAAGCTATAATAATACGAAAAGACCTTATAGCGAGCGTTACTGCGTAGGTTCCCTTAATTGTTAAGCTTTTCTGGAGATCCCCTCGGATATATAGCCTTACCTTATATCTCTCGAGATACCCGCCTTAGTCGAACTTATAGGTGAATACCTATTGAAGTGGAAGAGGCTTAGACTTCGCCAATACCCTATTAAATTCCCTCTATATGCGTTTCTTAATTAGCTTATTAACCTCCTTTTACGCCGCTTCCTTAAACTAGTCGCGTATAGGGTAGTTATAAAGCTCTCTTTAATACCTTAGTATAGCCTTTAAGTGGTTATAATAAACCCTGCCGTTAAGTCAGGACTTCAGTGTTAAATCCTCTATTACTTTTAAATAAGCTTTCGTTTTTATATCGGCTACTCCGAATATTACTAAGTAAAAGGATAGGAGCCCTTATATCTTATTATCGCGCACTTCTTATTAATTAGACAGGAAGAACGTATACGTTAAGGGTATATCTGGCTTTACTACGTGCGTCCGTGGATTAATCCGAATAGTCTTCCCCTAAGCACGTTAATCTATAATTTAGGCGCTAACCCTTATTATATTCTTAATCTATATACTCCGCTTACGTTAGTGCGTGGTTATTTTAGGGTCGTTAGTTCGAGATCTAGACGCTAAGGGCTAGTTAATACCGTGACCTGGATTAGGAGTAACTAGTTCCTATGCCTTAGTCTACGCACTTCTTATACCTCCTTATTACTCCGGATTATCTATATTAAGATCTAGTATATATAGCTTTAGCGTGTTAATAGTAGCGTCTCCTTCGGGTACCGTAGTCTATATAGAAAAAGGTTTAATTAAGAGTTCCTCCTACTATAGCTACGGCCCGGCGCCTTAGTCCTGGTTATTCCGGCTTAGCGGATTAGGTATAGCGTGTGGGGTTTAGAGTCCTATTAGCGCGGGCGGTTCGGGTAGCCTATCGTGGCCGTTAGTGGTTACGTCGGTATCTAATAGTTCCGGCGCCTTTAGAATAGTACTAGCTACTCCTACCCCCGAGTCTAAACCCGTAGACTCTACTTAATCTTTAGAAGGTACGCTGCTGGATAGGCCGGTGGGCGGTTCTACTTATAGGATAAATTCGGTATCCTTATCTTCGTAGTCTTTATAGGTTATAAGCTAATTCCTCGCCTCCGCCTCCGTAATCTACTCTACTTTTTCGAGCTTCGAGTTATAAAATAACCGCTCGTTAAACTACACGTTACGCATTATTATAACCTTCTAAAGCTATGGGATCTATATGTTATAGATATTATAGGTAATATATCCTATAAGACACCTAATATAGCCCCTTAGTTAAATCTTATATATCTTTCTCTCCCTTCTAGTCTCCTTATTCCTATTTAAGGGATAGGCGCGGTAACCGTAGGCATAAATACTACTCTAATCTAGCCGTAGGTTAGCAGAATACTCTTTTATCTTAAGCGGCGCGTGCTTTTTAAACTATAAGTCTAATATCTTAATAGAAGACTTTTAACTTAGGCGCTATAATAGACTTATATTATAAAGTTACGCCGCTACTCTTATACTCTCCGGCTATATAAAACTTAGAAGACCTACGTTATTTAGTATAGCGTTAGACTTTATAACGATAGCTTATCCTGCCCTTTCGATAGCGCTATTCGGCTTATAGGTATATAAAGGCGCGATCTCTATATTAATGCCCTTCGTGCTCGCCTATAGCTAGGTCCGCGAATCCCCTGCTATATATATAATTAAAGGCTTATTATTACTATATATCTTATAGACGTATAAATTAAACTAACACGTAACCTATCTTTCGAATGCTTTAAGGGCGTTATAGACCGTAACGCTATTTTTTAACACTAAAAGCAGTATATAAATCTAACCGCTATACTCCTCCTGAATAATAAGGAGATAATATATACTATTATAACTCTCCGGTAATTCCTATAGGTCCTAATACATACGCTAGAACGGCCTAGGCGAGCGGTAATCTAATAGTCGATAAGATATAACCTAATAAACCTATATTCAAGTATAGGTCTTATACTTTATCTGCTTAATGCCTTATATTAGCACGTTCCTAGCGTTACGAACTAGTACTTAGAGAGCTTCTAGTCCTAGGTAGCCGGCCCTTAGGTGCTATAGCCTCTTTTCGTTAATACGTGGATAAGGGGAATCTCGAGATAGTCGAAATAGCTTCGGAAGCGGCACTCTTATCGGTTAATCGATAGCTAGTACTAGTATATAGACATAATCATAGCTTACGGGAAGTATGCCTTATAGTATTAGTTAAATATACGGGTAAAAAGAAGAAGAGGATAAAATTAGCTTATACTAAAGAATAGTTATATTAAAGCGTTATAATAGCTTTAATAAAACCACGCTCTTATCCGCTATTCCGTATTATGGTAAGTAGTTATATCCCGAATACTAGATCCTAACCTTATATAATAAAGCTTCCGACATAATATTCGTGTAAAATCCCTTTACCACGATAACGTTATTAAGCTCTAAGTCGACTTTCGGAGCACCTCATAGTCTATTAAGAAGGCCCTTAAAGATCTATTTACCTTTACCGATAATAGGGAATTCCGTGGTACCGGATTTAATAATACCGTTTATCGGGATAAAAGATCCGGGAATAAGTAGGTCGATTAAATTAACTAAGTATATCGCGCCGTAATTATCTAAAAGAGTGCTATATAAGAGCGGGTAAGCGCTAGATTATAGCGCCGCGTAGATACCGGGAACTTCCCCTATATTATAAATAAGGGTTAGATCTAAGATAGTTATAATAACCTTTAAGGGGTATCCGTTACCCTTATCGCTACTCTTACCGGCGCTCCCCTATCCCTTCTTTAATAGGGTTTCTCGTAGACTTTTCTACTTTTATTACTATAGCTTTTTCCGGATTCGTTCCATATAATTATCGCTTATCTGCACGGATAGCTACTACTCGTATTTACTTATAAGAGTATACTCTACTCTATTATAAAGCTCCGGCTTCCACGAATAGGTCCTATTATAGGGGTATTTATACCCTTTACCCTTACCTTTCTTCCCTTTTCTACTACTATCGTTATCTTTATCGGAGCGGTCGCCTAAGGTAGCGTAAACGCTATGTCTAATTCTATTAAGGTTAGGAGCGCTTATAATCGCGTTAAATTCGCGGCCGTATATCAGGATATCGTTAATTACTTTATCCTTATTCTTCTTACGGATTAGTTCGTGGAACTTAGCCTCTGCCTAAGTCGGGGTAAAACGCTACCTAACTACGATAAGGAAGTTACGGATAGCTATAGAACCCTTAATATCGTTAACTTTATACTAACGATAGCGCCGGATAAGAGTATTCTACTCCGTATACCACGCTACCACCTTTATATTAGTTTTTTGGGTATCCTAGAGGTGCTTATTATATACTTAACGAACCTCCTTAGCTAAGAATAATACGCTAGGAGCGAAGTATTTCTTTAATTTCTTTATTATTTATCGTACCGTGAAGTAACGGTTTTATTTCCCCTTTTTATAATTAGGGTACTTCTTAATTACTTCCTCAACGGCTTATTAGTAGGTAAAGGTCTTATTAGTCGCTTTAAGTATATAATTATCTTTATTAAGCGTTTTTATCGATAAGACGAGCTTTTAATTATATACTGTGACCTTATAGCCTTTTAGCTTAGCGAGCTCGATTAGTTCTAACGTGGTAGGAGGGGTTAGCACCCTATTAATAACTTAGGTGTGTTTTTCGCGTAGCTAGTCGATAGATATAGGTATAATATACTCGGGTCGGTTATCTAGCTACTCCGGCCTATTAGGGTCGAGTAAGGCCTAGACCTTTATACCCTGCGTATATAACTTAATATAGAAGATCTAATCGGCCTACTACCTAGTAGACTCTAGCCGCGGGATACTAAGCGCTTCGGTAATAACTTTAAGCTTCGTGGATATAGTTTATAGTAGGGGTTTAGCGAATAAGGGCTTTTCTAAGCGAGAGAGTAGGGTAGATACTCCTTAATTAGCTACGGAAGCATACGTAAAATAAACGTAGATAATGGATTAGCAGGAAGTTCCTAGTTACTGCTATTACCCGGGCTTATAACTATTAGATTAAGGGGCGTATAATCCGGCCGGAGTATAGATATAGAAGATATATAATTGTATTCGTTATATAAAGGAAAGAAGAATAGGAAGGTATGGGTATTCTAAATATATCTACCCCTTTTCCACGCGAGGAATATAGGGCTAATCCAGCCAATAGAAACACAGAAAACAGGCTCACGTGTTTTCAGTGCGACAATCGTCACCGGTAGGTACATCGCTGTCCTCGCTGCCCTTGGCCATGGCCTCATCCACCTTGGCCTTGAGCTGCGCAAAGGGTCTGTCTCTCGATATTATCCTTCTGAGGCGAAAGCGTACTTTGTTACCCCTCGATTAGTACGGATATAGAGTAATGTGACAAAACAACGATGCCTCGCGATCGGACAACGGGCTATAACACCCCAAAGTCGACTTACAGGGCATCACCGTCATCCATCATGGCCAGCTTTACCAACAACGTTTTACATGAGAACTGTTACGGGAAATACGAAATATTCGAAAGATTCTCATCTCAATTTCACCATGGACTATACCGTGACCCTAAATTATATTATTTCTTGCCGACGAGTAGAATGGAAACCTTTAGTCATGGATTGCAGCATGAGTTGCGCTTCAGGGATTTGAGTCGCGGACGGCGAAAAACAAGCCCACATGCCTTAAACCCCGGGCAAAAGTCGTTCTTGGCCCAGGAGCAGGCCAACCGTGTTCAGCTAATTATAAGCCTAACATGGATATGTTGCTGATGTTACGACACCGTACAATTCCATCGGTTCTTCCACCAGCTTCCGGAATCGGCGACATTGAATTCGAGTCGAGACGCAAGCAAAGAGGCTCGTCAAATTATACATGAACTAAGACCAAAAAAAAAAAAAGGATATGGTCGATGGCACATCTATATCACCTATTTACCAATGTCGCTTCCAAGTAGATAGCCAACGCAGCATTCACCCTGCCCCTCTCCAGAATAGGATGTGACTTTTTTTTTACAGCTCCTCACCAACGTGCAGGTACTTCCGCTCCTCCCTCTTCTCCTTCTCAGTAGCCGGGGGAAGATCGTAGAAGTTGCTGCTACGGAATCCTTGCTATTTGAATGGGTCAGTACAGGGGGGGTTCCTGGCGTAAGTAGGGAGAGAGTGGAGTCGATTGCATGCAAAAGCAGCCGCCAACTTACCAGGTAATGGTATGTAAACTTGCTAATGTCGCCCGGTTCGATCCCGAGATCCTTGAATGTCTTCGCCGTCTCGTCATATTGCTGGTCGATGAACTCGCGCTCAACCTCGTCGGCAGACATGATAGGCCACCACAAGAACCGGTTAAGGAGGCCGGCGAGGGGCTGCAGAATCCGCTTGGGAACATTGATGTGTCGGAGCTTCTTGAACGTTTCTCGGTCTACCATCTCGGCTATTTCGGCCATGGTGTATTCGTTCGGTCCGTACAGCTCGTACGTCTGTCCCGCGGTGCTGTCGTCGTAAAGCATGAGTTCGAGAGCGTGGCCGACGTCAATAGACTGCACAAGTTAGCCAAACGCAAGGGCAGTTAAAGACCAACCCATCTGAAAACGCCTCTCATAGGGAAACTCACGTGGACCGGAGAAAGCCTCTCTTGCATGTTATTAGCGGTAAAGAGACTCAGTGTCGAGGCTATCTTCAGAAGCAGATTGTCCTCGAAGCCGAAGATGGGGGCAGGCCGAACGATGGTCGTCTCGGGAAAGATGCTGCGGGCAACTTGCTCTCCCCTGGCCTATATGACGTTGACGGTTAGCTCGTCCGCCACGTGTGAATTGACGAGACGAATTGTGCTCGACCATGACCAGGCGGACCGACCTTGGTGCGATAGAACTCGGAAGGGGAGTCGAGGTTGGCGCTATGACTCGAGACGTGGATGAAGCGGTCCACGTCATATTTCGCGACAGCGCTGGCTATCCGCTCGGTGCCCTCGACATGTACGTCCTCCAGAGAGAAGTTCCTGATAGTATCTTAGCCCATGTCCTACGCTTCCAGCAAGATTGCTTCTTCGACATACTTGGTGGGATAGTTCCGGCCGACCAGATTGTAGACGACATCAGAATGCCGAACGCTCTGCTCAATTGATTCGGTGTTCCGCAAGTCGTATTCCTGCCACGTATATTATTAGCCTCGGCATGCCGCAAGCCCACTACCGGCCGCAGAAAAGTTGGTACGAACCAAGAAGACCACCCGCCCAAGATCGCCCGTGACCTTGAGATGGCGCTTGGCCATTTCCTCGCGATACGGCACGACAACCGTGCACCCCTGGCGTGCTATTGAATCCTTGTAAGAGCCTGCCTGAGTCCTAGGGAGGTCGACGGAAGAATCCTACCGAGACGATTCACAATGTAGCGTCCCACCTGGCCAGTTGCGCCAAATACGGTGGCCGTGTGACCTGCGGGTTGTTTAGAGCGTAAGCGTAATCAGACATGCGCGTTCTGAGCTGCACATACCGCCGAGGGAGGACCTGGAAGATGACACTTAGTGAGTAGAGCTTTCGTGTGGGTTCAATTGGCATCCGTAAACTCACCTTCCACCCTGGGTCCGTAGGATAGGCTTGCCGGTTCGGGTGATTGCAACGTCGGAAATGGGCCGCCGCCTCAAGGCATTGTGGGCGACCTTCTGAGTCGACCGCACGGCGGTCTGGATCGAAGCCATCTTTTTCAATGTCGAATCTTCAGCGCTCCAAATTGGGCTTCGCGATCCCAGTTCACGGTGGGTAGTCGATGGTCCTGCCGTGCTGCTACTTCCCAAGTTGCTTCGGGAATGAGGAACCAATTAGACGTCACGTGTTGGTCAAAGGAGCTGCATCGGAAATGTATTATTCATCCACTCGTTGTCGCCTTACCTAATCCCGTATACCTTACCTTTGAAGGTGCGATTACGTGCTGGACTGTATACTGTGTACTGTGTACTTCCGGAGTACGAAGTCCACTTATCGAAGGTAAGGCACCTCAGGTATGCAATCAAGGACGAACCACCACGAGCAGGCTGCAAGGTAGCCGCGTTGATCTGAGCCTCGTCATTCACGGGTTTCTTCCTCCACTCTATACTTACGACTTGACCTTACCAAGCAAGGCACTCTACTGATCTCGTTAGCATACGTCTACGAGGTCGTCTTCGATCCCGAGACTCGTCCTTCTTTTCGGCAAACGTCAGAACAGAGTTCCCCACGCAACCTTCGGGGTATCATTTGCAAACAACAATGAGCGCCGACTCCATCCCCGATTTCCTTGCGCAGCAGCGCGATGAAGCTCCGGAGGAGCTCCAGCATCTTATCCTAGGATTCGAGGATCTGTGGGAGCGGAAGCTCTGGCACCAGCTGACGAATGTGGTCGGCGAATTCTTCTCACATCCTGGCAGCGCACCTCAGCGTTTAGACTTCTACAAGGTCTTCATCCTCAAGTTTGCAGATAAGATCAATCAGCTGAAGCTGGTAGACCTGGCCCTGAAAGCGGCAACGGAGTGCGACGGTATGTGAACCATGGAAACCCTGAGCACTGAAACACTGGCCGCTCCCATTCCTGCCGGCCAGTACTGACTCGAAGGATATAGATGACGACGAACGCCTCGAGTTCCTGCAAGGTGTTGCGAAGAAGGTCGACCACCCGAATTCCCAGGATGCCTTCGTATACGCCTCCGTAGCTGTTGCCAGAGTGAAGCTGGATCTAGAAGACCTTGATGGTGCCAGGAAGGACCTCGAGTCAGCCGAGAGGATATTGGACACCTTCGATTCCGTCGAGAAGATCATACACGCCGCCTTCTATGACGCAAATGCCACTTACTATCAGGTAAGATGCGCTCCCCTAAACATGTCCGGGTGGTTGCTTGAGCACTCCACTGACTTGACACCTGTATCTAGCGCAAGATGGATTTCGCCGCCTACTACCGCAACGCCCTACTCTATCTCGCCTGCATCGATATCAACTCTTTGACACAAGCAGAGAGTCATGCCCGCGCCCACCACCTGAGCATTGCCGCCCTGCTCTCCGACAGCATCTACAATTTCGGCGAGCTGCTTCTGCATCCGATCCTCGACGCCCTCAAAACGAACAAGCAGCATGCCTGGCTGCGGGATCTCCTATTCGCATTCAACCGGGGCGACCTTGCCGCCTTTGATGTCCTCTACGGCAACATAACCAACACTCCCCTCCTCAACGCGCACGCAAACCACCTCCGCCAGAAGATCTATCTGGCTGCTCTGACCGAAGCCATCTTCCGTCGCCCCCCCCACGACCGCGCCATGACCTTCGCCGACATTGCCTCCGAAACGAAGGTCCGCCCCGACGAGATCGAACATCTGATCATGAGGGCGTTGAGCTTGGGTCTGCTCCGGGGCACCATCGATCAAGTGGATGAGGTGGCGCACATCACTTGGGTGCAGCCCAAGGTCTTGGACATGAAGCAGATCGAAAACATGCGGCAGAGACTCCTGGACTGGGACTCGAGTGTAAATCAGCTCGGCAACTGGATTGAGACAGCGGGCGGAGATGTGTGGGCAGCATAACTTGGGAAGGGCGAGGAATGCGTCTCGTGGTCGGAGTCAGGAGAAGAGCAGGCTGAGACGATTAGCGCCTAGTGTAGGACCGCTGCAGCTCTTAGACCGTTGACTCTGGCGACCAGAAGCTATGTACAACAACTTAAGGAGGATGTTGAAGCGCCAATGATGATCCCCCTTGTTGGTAACCACGTAAAACGGCCAAAGGTCCATAGCACGAGAGACTTCTTCACAATATCCCAAGAGTAACAAATAAAGGGTTTCAAGACAACTGCATGCACGTTGGAAATACGACGACTTGAAAGAAAAGAGGCGGTATGCCGATGTGATAATTACCAATACTACCTCAGGACTGTAGGAATCAAATGATTATTGCACTGGTCGTCCAAGCACCAGGACGGAACTCAACAGCCATGCAGGCCACCACACGCACCATAACACCATAGGAGTATACATGCCCCAAATGTTCCAGCCGAAAGCAGCCTCCTTGAGAACCGAGCCGATATCAATATGGAAGTATGCCGACGCCGAGTAGAGAACAGTGGTTGGAGAGATGAGCTGAAGGACTCCAAACAAGGTGTGACCCATAACCGGGTTGCTGCAAGGCTGCATAAAGGTTAGGGGAGCAGCGAGCAGCCCCACGAGGAAGGAGAGCGAAAAGTTGAGGGTCGCGAGGGCAGAGAGAAACATCCCCAACAGTAGAAGGCTGAAGCACTTGATGAGCTGAAATGGTTGGACCGACGGCTTGTAAGAAGCCAGAATATGCGAAATAAGAAAGGGCAAGGCGCAGTTCAGGGCCGCGACAACCACGAACGCCGGTGAGAGCATCTGTTGACCATAATGAGCAAGTCGTGTCTCGGACAATACCCACGAGCAGTTTGAGGGTCATGGAACTTACCGTTGCTGTCAAATGGTTAAACACAAAGAGAGGAATCGCGCCAAGGAACTGGCACATGGCCACCAGGACTAGAGGGAGGAAAAGGTGGCGCTCGGCGGGGGTCGTAGTAGGAGATGATTTTGAGTCCGGCCCGTCCTGAGGTGCCGGCGAACCGCTCTTGACCCAGAAGAAAATGGCCATGATGGTGAAGTTCGCGGCAAGCACCATGGCACTGGGCAGGTAGGTGCCTATGCTCACAAAGCGGTCTTTGTTCATGAGCAGGTAAAAGAAGAAACTCTGATGTAGGTGCTCGAGAAGGTTGTTCAAGCTGCGAAAGGAGCCTTCCACGACGCGACCCATGGCCATTTCATCTTGCCATCCCTCTCCAAACGGCTGCAGTGTGACCGCATCGACATGATAGGGAATGAAGCTGCTGTGAGGCCCCGAGGCGTAGCCCAAGCCCTGGTTCAGCATACCCCGCAGCATGGTACGTAGGCGATCCTCATACTTGTCCGTGTGTTTCCGCATCTCCTGAATGGCGCAGGGGATGCCCATCTGGCCGCCGGATATGCTCACAATGGAGTTGATCAAGTCCAGGTTGGGTAACTGCCCATTGATGCCATCGTACACAACGTGGATCGACCGAAAGCGGTGTTCCTGGGTGTAGTCGATGGCGATAGCTCCTTGCAAGGCGCCTGATTTCACAGGTAGGGAGCTCACACGGGACGCATCATGCGCGTCATGGTAGGCGTCCACCCAAGCCTGGATACCCGTCTTGCTGTCGGGAGGTATGACGATGATGATATCCTTGGACCACAGGGACCAGCGCTTAAAGTACCGCGCAAGGGTCAGCGCGAGGGGAACCCCGTGTCTGTTCAGCTCGCCTTTGTCGTTCTCCCAGGCGGCCACAAGAACGATTGCTTCGGTGGCGTCCCCGCGCGGCGCCTGCAGGATGGCGTAGATGTTCTCCCCTGTATAGGTTTGGCCGGACGATGCGTAGGTGAAATTCTGCCGCCCAACCTTGAGGCCGATGCTTTTGAAGTGGTTCTCTAGATGGTCGTTTATCTCGGAGTTGTTCTTGCCGATCAACGCATGGACCTCATGTTTGTATGCACGGAAAACGTTCTGGTCGCTGCCGCCGAAGTAGGTATGCACCTGTCCCGGAAGAAGCGCGTTCTCGGAGATGTAAGTTCTTCGGGAGTAGTCGTTCAAGGGCAGGAGGAACAGCCAAGCAATTCCAGCAATGATGCAGAGAAGCGATAGATATGGCGGCAATTTGAGAAGACGTGGGTCGCGTCGCAGGAAGAAGACGGAGGCTAAAAGCACTATGAGTTGCAAGTCATATATACACCTACGTCTTGGCAGGTCACTGTAGGAGAAAGGACAGAGACAAGGTCGCCCCCGGGGGAGGGATGCGTACAGATGAGGCGTGACATGGTAGTTCGCCCAGCCGAAAGCCCTACTGGCAGTGAGCGGCAGAGGAGGCAGTTATGATTTGGCGATAGCTGCTTCACTTGTAGAGAGGGTACACGAAGAAGGTCCGGCCTGCCTGAAACGAGACGTTCAGCGGACCGCGTTCGATCCTTCGGCCGAGATACATACGCGTCGGAGGCGGGAGTGTCCTTATAAGCATACACTCCTTAATGCATAGGTTCTCTATACCTAACCGGGCGGGCGCCCGATATTAATTAAATAAACTCCTAATTTAAATACAAGTCTAATGTAAAGTCCTGACAGAGAGAACTCCGGGCCGGAGAAATCCCTAAGGCCAGCGGGACAAAGTGCAGCGTTTTGTCGCACGTTAAATAGCACTTATATAATTAACTTAATAGAGCAGAAATCTTATATATATATACTATATTAAGTTATATCTATATAAGTCTCTTATACCCTTAATTTAAGTAGTAAAGACTCTATTATAGGTACTATATTATTTGGATTCTATCTGGTTATTTCCAGTACCCGCCCCTATTATATCCTAATACCCGAGGTCCGAAGCCCTTAGTCAGGCATAGATCCCCTATAGACCACGTCGTGGTCCGTGTGCCTATACGACACGTTTAGGCCCCGTTCGACAATCTCAATAACTATTAAAATTTTGTTAAAATATCTAAAAAATGCATAACTTATAACCCACCTATAACACAAGGACCCCTTTTATATAATATTTTTAGTGTAACTGTATTTCTTATATATCCCTCTACTATCCCCCTATTATTAAAGTACCACGCTAGGCAGGGATCCTCTTATTAATGTTTTGCTAAACAACGGCTGCTTTTTATATAGGAGTGCTTATTAAAGCTTTTAAACGTAATAACTATTAAAACTCTTTAATAGGATAGGATCTACTATTAGCCGCGCTATTATAGGCGAGGCTATTACTACCTACGATAATAGTTATACCCGTAAACTCGATCTTATAGTTCTAGTATTAATCCTATAACGACCTAAAGTTACTTAACGCCTCCGGAGGTGTAAAAATACCTCTCGGCATTCCTACAGGAACTATCTAGCTATAATATTAGGTATTATAAGGGGGTTATTTATCGGTTCCGATATAGTGTTTCGGGACCTATTTAGATTAAGTTAGAATAAATTCTATCGCCTAATAGGATAGATCGTGTTAAATAGTAAAGTTAGAGAGACGACTTACTATACGATAACGTAGAAGGTTATACTCTTCCTTTATATTATTAGTTACGGCGTATCCTTATATAATATATACCACCGCTTTAAGATATTCCTTAATACCGGATCGCGTATCTTCGATAAGGTCCTAGGTATAATACGTTAGCTTTATATCGAATACGTTAAAAACCCACTATAAGGATATATCTCGCGATATATCGAATTGTCTTCACGGAATAATTAGTTTAATGGCTATATCAGGGTAATTAACGGTATATATATCGCGGCGTGGATACCACCTAAGGAATAACGGCGGTTCTTTAACCGGAGGGGGTAACTTACTTAAAATATTCTCACGGTAGTCGATTTTAACCTGTTATTCACCTATATCCTAGTAGGTACCGAGGGTAGTATAAATAACTCTTCCTTACTTCGAGAGGCTTTCGCGAGAGGGTCTTTTTACGTACCTAATAAGAGGTTCTACCTTATAGATAATAGTTTGGCAGCGATATTCGAGGTATCATAACCCCGTCCGATAGTAAGAGGTACTACCTTTAAGATTTCTCTAAAATAAAGTAAAGGTAGTTATCCTTAAAGGAGCGGTTTAACCGCCTCCACGCCGGCTACTATAATAATGTTAAATATGTCTTTAGTGTATTAAAGAGGTCTTTTTATATCCTTAGTAGAAAGGTACCTAAATATAGCTTCGAAAAGCAGGTAGAAAACGTATACGCGGTAAGTAGGATCTAGAACTTTATTAAAGCTATATATAACTAAACCACGGTTAATAAGGAGTTTAAAGAGGAAGAGAGATTACTATAGCTAGCCGTAGAGCGTGCCGACTATAATATCGGTAATAAGGGCGGATTAAAGATACGATACTAGATATCTAAGTTAATAGAATAGTAGTAGTAGTAGTTATATAGGATTATTATTATTAAAGTAAAAAGGATCGATATATTAATATTTTAAGTACTATATAAATTACTATAGCGGAAAGAGTAGATAAGATAGAGCTATACCCCGTACTAGTCCTTTTCGGGTAGGTAGTAAATACTCCTAGCTAATTAAATCCACGGAAAATAAGTCTTAGTTAGAAACTAGATCCACCCTAGCCCTACACCTACCCTTAACACTATCACCACTATTACCACTATCACTATTTCCACGCGTAGTCCTTTCTTTTATAAACCTATACCTCTTTAAGAATGCCCTTTTCCTATCTATTCTTCCCGCGTTAAATAGTGTTACCTTATTAGGAATTTAAGTCAGGAACTCTACCACTACAATAATGCTATTAGCACTATCCAATTTATCGCTAAATTTCTTATTATAAGCGGTAATCGCCTATATAAGGATAGGCTTATTTTAGCTTACCGCTAGCGAAATCAATCCGGTTATTAGAGGATTATTACTTCTTTCCTACGATACTGCTATAAAGCGTTATCTAAAAGGTTATTATAAGGGATAGGGAAGCCTTTACTACTAATACTATTAGGATCCTATTATTACTTTCGACTATACTTACGAGCTAGAGGTATAGCTATGTTAAGAAGGAGATTTAGGTCTACCCCGAAGGGATAAGGACTAGAGGGTGATAGGGAGTGATAGATAAGGATCGTAGTCTTATATAAGGGGAGGCTAACTATAGGTTAACCGGTGGTCAATAGGAAGAGTATCTTAAAGGTAGGTGGTAGTGTAGAGGAGAGATAATCGCTAACCCCTTCCTTCTGGAATAGTCTAGCTCCCCGTCTTACATAACAAATATCCACTTATTAGTTAGCCGGTAGTCCACTACGTAGTCCACTACTATATCCTAGTACCTCCTAAGTCTTCCTTATATCCTATACCTAATAGGCTGCCCCTTCCTAGAATAAGGCCTGTCCTTAGGCTATAGCTAGTTACGGAGTATCCGTAGGGTAGGTGGTAATTATCGGGTAAGGCGAGTAGGTTAATAGTACTATCGGTGATACGTGGGTCGGAGCTTAAAGAAAATAAAGCCGTAGGCAATCCACCGTTAAGTAACGGTGGAGCTAAAGGCTTAAAATATATTCTAACCTTAAATAGTGGTATTAGAGGATATTTTTAGGGGAAGAGAATAAAGAGAAAATTCCTTACGAAGTGTGCTATTTTAGGTATATATAAGGGCGTGGAAAGAACTACTATAGGTAGCTAACCGTTAATCAGACGGTGGTTTATAGAGGTTTATCATAAAAGATAAGTCTATAAAGGATATATCCTTATATAATAATAGGTATAAAATAAAAGTTTAAAGCAGCTATTTACCCACTATTAGATAGTAGTAGTGTTATTAAACAGCTAATATCTCCCCGTTTATTAAACGCGTTCGTATTATATATTCCGTGAATAGGGAAGTGCGTCACCGGTAATAAAGGCGTGCCTACCCCTTTATACGTAAATAGTAAAATAGTAGGCACGATAAGTAGGGCCTCACTATTAAATAGAGGATCTTTTCGGCTACAGGCTTTTCCTTTTCTTCTTCTTTTTCCCCTTTTTAGGCTCCCTAAGGAGGTTATAAGTATTCCCCCCCCTATTTATAAGAGTCTATAGGCAGCGTTATATAGCCGGGGCTAGGGTAGAAGACGTGGCGGGTTAGTAGCGGGCTAACTAGTAGCTAACGTGTATACAGTTTTTCTTTTAGTATATATAAGTCTATTTTTCGTTACGAGTCTCCCGTCGGTATATATAATTTAGAATTTAACTTCGAAGGAGAGTAATAGCTAGATAGCGGTTAGATAGAAACTAATATAAAATAGATTAATAGAGAAGGGTTATAGTTAGGTGAATATTTACCGAGCTCTATAAGTGCGTCTAGATTTATAGTGGGAATATAGGTAATAGCTGATCAGCTATAGGATAACTATACCTCCTCAGGGAAGTCGTGGTAGTAGTATAGTAAAAACTCCTAAAAAGCCTCGTCTAAAGAAAAATAGAACCGTAGGTATTTAGCTAAGGACTAGCGGGGAGGTATCTAGTACCTAGGGCATAAATACAGAGAATAATAATACGTCGGCGCCTATAAGTCTAATTAGTGGAGAGATAGCCGGTAGTTAGTAGCAGACTAGTGATAAAATTAGTAATAGAAATAAGAATAGTGCCGGTAATTCGAATAATAGATCTATAGCTAGAAATAATAGAATGATAGAGTTAGGTAATAATAAACTAGCTAGTGCTTCTCGGGCGTACACTTTATATCCTCCTGCAGAATAGGGATATAATCCGTTTCCGGTTCCGTGTATGCGGTGTGTTAGTCGAATAATAAAGTAGCACCCTAGTAGTAGTTAAATCCCTTCGTGCAGTTATAGAGATTATAAGTAAAATAGTCGAATAGGGGGTAATAGTTAATTAGCTGCTAACTTAGTATAATAGCGGCCTTGCTTAAATATATATATTATATAGAACAGGGATTAAAGCCCTGTATAAAGGTATATTAGTTAGTCTATAGCTATTCCACTACTAATTAATTATAGATACTATATATATAGTTAGATAAGATTATACGCCTTCGTGATATAATTAAATAACATTAATATAAGGCAGATACGGTTCTAAAGGTATATACTCGTAGATTAACTATTAAGTAATAGCTCTAAAAATACTATAGAACGAATTATAGTATTTATAGCGTTTAGGTAAGCGTGCATTAAATTACAAGAAAATATAGTTATTGGGTTAAAAGCGTCCCGCTAATAAATTAGAAGAGGAGCGCTAAGAGTAAGTTTAGCGGCAGTTAATTATAGCCGAGCGGCAGGCTAGTAGTAGCGTAGCGGTTACTAATATACTACGA